TACCCAAGCTGACTCTTCTCCCAGAAGGCAGAATGGGAAGACGGACTTCTAATCTGTGGCTCTGCAGCCAGGGGCTCTAGCTCATTGAGCTACTGTACCCAGACAACCATGGACCTCCAGATGTTCTTGGACTTGGACTTCTGATCTGTGGCTCTGTAGCCAGGGGCTCTAGCTCATTGAGCTACCCAGACAACCTCCTCAATAGCTTAGAAAGTTACATTTGGACCACAACTCCCAGAATCCCCCAGCCGGCATAGCCACTCAGTGGAGGATTCTGCTTATGATATCACTGTAGTGTTCTGTAGAGCAGTGGTCACCAACCATGGGCCTCCAGATGTTCTTGGACTACAACTCCTAGAAGCCTTTACCACCACCTCTGCTGGCCAGGATCTCTGGGAGTTGAAGTGCAAGAACATCTGGAGGGCCAAGGTTGGGGGCCATGGCTCTAAGGGGCAGATGATTAGTGGCAAGAACTCTTGATGGCAGATGCTAGATCATGGAAGAGCTGCTGCTCATGATAGATTCTGGATGCTATAGCTGAAAAAAAGAGTAATTTTTCCAAAGTACGCAGTCCTCACAGCCTACCTTTTCACACACCACAACTCTTGAGATATATTGTCAAGAGGCTGATTTATCCTTTGCAAAATCATCCTCTTTTTCTGTTATAGTCTTCAGCAAAGCATGGACAGAAAAACTGTGCCCTCTGAGATTAGGGGTGTTCATTGAGACCATCTTGACCAAACACCTTTAGAGATGAGAGCTGGAATTACATGTGTAGTTGAAACTTCACCGTAGACTTCTGTTGGCCCTACTGGACAGACACGAAGGCCCCAGTGGAATAAACGTCTGATAACAGCCAGACCACTTACTGCATTCCTGGTGGGATAATGATATTCAAACTCAAGATCAGTTTAAGAACTTCGGTTGCTTAGGGATTCTGGCTATATGGGTAGTTGTAGACCGTCAAGTGTGTTACTTCACTCTGAGGAATGCTGCGGTCAGTTTAAGACAGCTTGAATTTCACACAGTGCAGCAATAGGAATGATCCCAACAGCTTCTGATATCCGTGGAAGCCGAGCATGCATGGAAAGTCTCTGCAACCATTTGTGAAGCTTGCATTAAATATTCTTGGCAATCTAGGTCGTGCAAATCTTCTTGCAGCCTTCTTGTTGATATAGTGCTAATAGAAATAGCTTGCATTCTAGGGATATATCCTGAAATGCATTGCAAACTAGAAATCAAACCAATTTCAAAGTAGGGCAAGGTAATGCAGAAATTGGACGGACTGTCGCAAATAAATAAATGGGGGTAAGTAAGTTGTATCCCAGACTCCTCTCTGCCTTAGCCTTGGTTTTCGATCCATGGATTTGGCATGTTAATATGGCTTAAAATCAGAAGTCAGGAAAGTTAGATGGAGAGAATGTCATCTCATTGCCAGTAATTAGCTGCCAGCCCACTCTGCTTTTCACCAGATGTGTAATGTGAGGGAAAAGACAAAAAAAATTTCCTTAACCTTAGACAGTAAAATATCTTGGCTTGGTCTTAACCGGAAGGCAGGGTGTTTGGTTTGGTTTGGTTTTTGGTATAAGCAGCCAAAGGAAAGCTTGGGTATGAATGTTGGCTCATCCTGCTAGTCATATAATTATGGCTGGTCTATGAGGTAAAACGCACAACACCCTGCCCCAGGCTCAGGTTAGGCTTAAGTGGCCCACTCTGGCCTGGGTCATTTTCTAAGCGTGAGGAGATCTGGCTTTTCTACTGTTTCCTTTTGCTGAATGCCCAGCCACGCCACACTCTTATGCCTGTGTGAAAGAGCCCGTAGACAGAGAGTTGGGAAAGCGGGAAAAGAACAAAGCTTCAGCCTCCGCCCACAAGGGGCACTATACTTTATATCTCCCTGAACCGCGATGGGCATCGGCTGCTACTGCAGTGAAAATCATTGGGTATCAGTTGCGCTCCTGTGATCTCAACTAATGTTCCCTCTAAGCTGCATGGGTATGCAGCTGCATGGCTGCACAGTGCCATTTTGAGGCTGTGCACCCACTGTTACCTTTGCCATTCATTTGGGTCGAGTCGTCGCTGGAACGTTGTGTGCACGAGGCAGGGTTCCCACTCCGTGGCGGTAGAAATTTAGAGGGAACTTTCACCCTTTGGTGACTTCTGAAATTTTCTATTATTTATCTTATGTGGCAGCAATTTCAGAATGTTTTCCTCGCCCCCCCCCCGCCCCCGCCCCCTACTGGNNTTAAAACCAATCTGTTTCCCTCTGTATATTTCAATTGGTTGTTTTTAAAAGCATTATTCCTATTTTTTTCCCCCTGGTGTCGGGCAGGTTTGTGTCTAAAATGGCTTTTCACCATCATTTCCTCTGGGTACCGCATGGCTAAATAAGCCTTCCCGTGCAAAAGGGCTGGCTGTATATTCTGGCAGGGCTTATGGAAACAGGTGGCCATGATGGCATGAACTGTAGATGCTTGTCCTCCATTTGGAAAGCACATGAAAACACCACCTCTCGGTGCCGCCTGGTGAGAGGGTGCTCGGACACAGTATGACCGGAGAAAAAAGGGTTAAGAGTAATTTTCAAAATATTGTTTAACATTTAGAGAATCAAGTTAAAGATATGGAAAGGGGGGGGGAGGTCATTGTCTTGGTTACAAAAGCCCTTAGAGCTAGCTTGCATGTCTGCTGGTCTACTTCTAACTAAAATGGAGGATCAAGAAGAAGCAGGTTCAGAGAAAGAAGAGGGAAGGAAGAGAACCTCAGGCTAGCAATCTATTGTATAGATCAAGGCAAGACAAGAAGGAAAACATTTGTTCTCTCCGTCTGCCCCACTCCCAGCCCCAGTGCAAATCATTTGCTACATACATTGGCACTCTTTTCCAGCAGTTTTGGTCTCTCCAGTGGTCAAGCAGAGCCAGAGGTTGAGAATCTGATTTCCCACTGTGCCTTACTGATGGGAGCTAGACACGCTGATCCGTAAGGTCCTTCCCAGCTCTGCTGTTCTAGGAGGATGATGGTGATTATAATGTGATTTGGTACATTTGCTCATTCGGCTTAGTTCGATGAAGCCATTGGGACCCAGGGAATGTAGGCATGAGATGTGGGAAGACAAACCAGATGACTTTAACAATTGTGGCACCATCTTAGATACATTCCTCACCAGCAGTGCCTGGGAGTTGGGAGAAGGCCCCATGAAACACTCATCAGCCTTTCAAGCCTCACGCCTTATGCTCTTTCAGCCCAGTGGCAGTAGTGACATAATTTGGAAGACTGTACTAAGAGTACACAAGATTCTCCAGATGCAACCGATGCTGCAGCTGAGAGATGCTGAGAAATCCCAGAAGCATCAACGTTGCACAGAAAGTACGGTCTCGCCTCACAAAGGCCTTCATAGGAGGGAAGATCAGAGTCTGGACAAGTTACTTTTTGGATTGCAAGATCCAGGGTACCCAAATCAACACAGGGGTTATTAGAAGAGTTGCCATTCAAAAAAAGTAACTTTTCCAGTGGGATGGGTTGCCATTGGTCTCCCATGCTTGCCTGTTGATCAGATTTGGAAAAAGTACATATACAAGCGAAACCTGCAGGAAGGGTCCTACATAATGGGGGGCTTCTAATTGGAGTCCATGCCGTCTATGACTTCTTGCAGGATATTCCACTCTATTTCCCTCCCTCCAGCACAGTTTTTTCTTTGCTGTTCATGACAGACTCATAGCGTTCTATGACGAAGGATGTACATCTTTGTTTGTTCCTTCTCACAGATGATAAGTGGGGGGGGGGGATAAAAAGCTTTCTCTTCTCCGGGTTTTTGTGACGGTTTTGCATTTTGGTACTTATTTTTGGGGAAAAAAAACACGTTTTGTTTTGTTTTACAGACTGCCTTGTGTTTTGCTTACGTATTGTGCAAAAAAGAAAGGCTTCTGTATTGTGCAAAAAATGCAAGCTTTTTTTTAACATTAGGCACTCCCCCCCCCGGCACACATGCACAAAATAGAAGGGTTGGAATTAGAAATGGGTACGAAACAAACCACGAAGAAGAAGAAAAACCACAGATCAGGCCATTTTGTGAGTCGTTTTGAGGTACTTTGGAGAAACAAATCATTTTAGGTTTTCTTTGTGTCCCCAATACCTCCTCCTCCTCCTCCTCCTCCTCCTCCTCCTCTTCTTCTTCTTCTTCTTCTTCCTCTTCTTCTTCTTCTTCTTCTTCTTCTTCTTCTTCTTCTTCTTCTTCTTCTTCTTCTTCTTCTTCTTCATGGAAGTATTGTTTTATAAAATATCTTTCCAGAATTCGTCCAGGATGGCGTCCTTGCAATTCGTGCATCTGTCCTGAGGAAGTCATAAAACATAAAAAAGCAACACGTCTCATAGAAGTCATCTTTACACAGGCTTGATTCATCTCACTTGCTCATTGTTTGGTGACGTAAACTTGGATGCATTTTCCACAATGTGCTAACTTGGAACAGGCCAGGTTTATTTATTTTTTTAAAAAAAATTCAATGAAGGAAAAAATAACAAGGATTCCCTGAGGACCCTTCTGTGAGGTTATGCTTATTGTGGGTCTTAGTTCTCCATCTGTGAGATTGTCTGAATTGTAGGAATAGGAAAAGCTGTATCAGAGGACTTCCATTCCATCTTCCCGTGCTAGTCTCAGACTCAGGAAGGGAGAGCAGGCTCTGATCTACTCTGCTGACCTCCAGCTCTGAGTCCTGTAGGACTGTGAACACGCAGTCCAGTTTGATTATGGGCTGGCAGGTCAATTGTGTACTATTCCCTAAGGTTTCTTGAACTGGGTCTGGGAAATCCCTGATCTACCCTGAATCATGACATCCAAGAAATGATTGAGTAACAGAAAAGCACACTTTCCATATGTTGTCTCTTTTTAGCCGCCACTCATTGCTGCCTCCTTTCGGCTTATTTTCTCATTTCCAGCAAATGAAACAATCTTGGTACTCCAAACCAGAACTGTTTAATATAACTTGGTGCTTTTTTTTTTAAACCAGAGACAGGGGGACGTCAATCCTTATGAAGATCCATGGATGACCTGTGGGTTCCAGTCCACCTGCTACCAGCAGAGGGCGATGTACCCACTCTGGGATGAGACAGCCATTCAGGAAGTCCCTACAGGGCTCGAGTGTCATAGCACAGGTAGGAGATCTTTCGCCCTTTTTACAGCCCTTCCTCCTAACAGGGGAAAGGATATTTTATTTTTCCTTTTCACAGAAACAGGCAAACAATACTTTTGCTAGCTCTCAAAAAGTACTATTGGTCAGGAAGCAACATTTTCGTCCCTGCCTATGTCAAGTGTTGGAAAGTTTTGCATTTCTGGTAAAATTCTCTTTTGCTATGAAGCAGAAGCACAAAGATGCACAGAGGAGAATAGCTGCAAGTTCAGCATATAGCCCACCCCTTTCTCATTCACTGACACTTAAACTCTCAATAACTCACTTTGAGACATTTGTAGGAGAAAGAATAAAAAAAGTACTTTACTTACATTTAGTTGAAATTGCAGACTTGTGTATGCTGTTTACTGTGCACTTAACTTGGCAAACAACTGGTAACAGCAAACGAAAAACTGCAAACCAACAGAGTAAAGAGAGGGAAAAGAACACTTAGCAAAGAGGTGGAGCTCTCTTTGAATTCAAAGGTTGGAAGAAATGTTTGGTTTGTTGTTGTTGTTTAGTTGTTAACGTTTGGGTTGTTGTTGTTTAGTCGCTAAGTCGTGTCCGACTCTTCGTGACCCCACGGACCAGAGTACGCCAGGCCCCCGTGGACCAGAGCACGCCAGGCCCTCCTGTCTTCCACTGCCTCCCGGAGTTTGGTCAAATTCATGTTGTTTGCGTTGATGACACTGTCCAATGTTTGGTTACTGCTAGATAAATAATCACTCAACTCCAAAAAAGTCCCTACAAGTCACACAAACTGCAGGCAGCATGCAAGATAATCAGCCCAGTCCAGAAAAATCCCTCCAAGTCACACAAACTGCAGGCAGCATGCAACGTTGCAAATGTTATTCCAACACATTTTCCTTTCCCAGGGCAGTGAAGGTGGTATACAGTGCCACTTGTTGCAGGCACCAAAAATTGCTAGGTACAGCTCTGTTTATCAGTCGATTGCAAATGCTACTCCAACACATTTTCCTTTTCCATTTTCTTCGGAGAGAGTTCATGCCTGTGGCTCAGGGCAATGAAGGTGGTATACACTGCCACTTGTTGCAGGCACCAACAATTGCTAGGTACAGCTCTGTTTATCAGTCCCTCCCAGTGGTATAGTGCTCTAGGACCATACAGCTTCCCCAAGGATCCCAGTGGTATAGTGCTCTGGGACCATACAGCTTGCCCAAGGTGACACATGAACCCCATCAGCCACAACTGCTGGTTGGCCCATGGTTGGCCCATGTTCTGGGAGGCCCATAAGGATTTGAACCCCTAGGCCCCAGGCACTCCTGCCTACTGAGCTGTACCAGCCCTTTTTATGGTCTTATAGTACCTGTTCATACGATTACCATATATTATTGGCTACACTGGCTGGAAAATTCTGAGAATGATGATCCAAAAAGTAATCTCCCTGAACTCTGGCTTCCTCTGATTCAACATGGCTTTTGTTAGAATCATTGAATAGTTGAGTTGAAAGGGATCTATAAGGCCATCAAGTAGAATAGTTGAGTTGAACGGGGCCGATAAGGCCATCAAGTCCAACTCTTGCTCAGTGCAGGATTCCAATTCAAAGCAGATCTGCCAGATGGTTTTCCAATTTTCTCTTGTATGCCTCCAGTGTTTATGCCTTCAGTGTTGGACCATTCACCACCTCCCAAGGGAATTGGGTCCATTGTCATACTGCTCTTACAGTTATGAAGTTTTTTTTCCTGATATTCAGCCTAAATCTGGCTTCCTGTAGCTTGAGCCCATTGTTACTTGTCCTTATGCTCTCATCATCACTCCCCCCCCCACAAGTGGCCAGGTAGGAAATCGCTTCATATCCCTCTTCTAAGTTTTACATTCCCACATGTTGGCCTGGGATTTTTACAGGCTGGCCATTGTTGCTATGGATACAGAAGACTAGTTGAGATCTGTGTCTGATCCAGAACCCCAATTCTTATGCTATGTAGTTCTCTACAGAAAATGTTGCAATACATGAAATTGCTCTCTTCTTCCAGGTTCTAGTGTGTGCAATAGCAACTGTTTACTGTCAAAAGCTTCCTCTCATCATTTCCTCCACACTGTATACACACACATGTAAAAATGATACCCGTTTTTAAAAAAATGATGTGTGTGGTCTTGAAGTTCTAAGAAGATAAGTATACAGGGATAACTACTGTACTTGTTTTCTGTCATGAAATCAAGGCAGAAATCATTGTTTGTTTCCTTTATTCCTTTACAGTAGTGCCTCGCTTAATGACGTTAATTAGTTCCAGCGAAATCGCTGTAGAGCGAAAACGTCGTAAAGCAAATAAAAAAGCCCATTGAAATGCATTGAAAACTGTTCCAATGGGCTGAAAACTCACAGTCCAGCAAAGATCCTCCATAGGGGTGGCCATTTTTGGTGCCTGTAGAGCGAGGAATCTGTCCAAAAACACAGCAGGGAGCCATTTTGAGCACCCAGTGGCCATTTTGAAAACCCAACGATCAGCTGTTTTGATCATTGTAATGCGAAGAATCGGTTCCCGAAGCAGGGAACCGGTCTTCGCAAAGCGAAAAAAACACCATTTAAAATGTCGTTTTGTGATTGCAATTGCAATTGCAAAAACATCATCGTGAAGCGGATTCATCGTTATATGAGGTAATCATTAAGCGGGGCAGGACTGTATTTTATTTAAACCTGCCTTTCTCTCCAAAGGACACTCAAGGGCTGAAATCTTATTGTTTAGCACAGGAAATCACAAGTAGAGGAGGATCATTAAATTAGTGAGGATTCTGTGAGTCAATTCCTTTTTACAGTAAGTGCCATGGATTCAACGGGTCCCCTCTAGCTGTGACTTACTAGACCAAGGAACAGATTTTTTTAGCCAAGGTGACTTAAAAGGTCTCTGTGTGTGCTTCTGTTTTGGACCATGTTGTTAGTTTCTGGGAGATCCAATCCAATCCAGCAACTTTTCCATGCTTTGAATCAGTGTTGCCAAAATCAATGGAAGAAAGTTATCCCTTAAGGCAGTAGATCCCAGCTAGTTTCCTTCATCTTAAGCACCTTGTTAGTCTGCAGAAAAACAGTGTCAAAATTCAGCTTACGGCAGAGCTCTCCTGAATGTCATCCCTGATGTAGGCAAAAATAAAATAAAATGTAGCGGCAAGAAAAGGAAAAGTGTTGTATCGATATTAAGATGAATTGGTTTATTTCTGTATGAGTTTTTATCACTTTTAACTCTTTCTCCAGCACTGTATCTACAAAATGGATGGCAATCTATGAAAGTTAACATGGCCATAAATGTTAGATGTTAAGAGGTAAAAACTCTTTTCTTTTTCTTTTTTGTTGGATTTTTTTCTTTTTCTTTTTGTTGGATATGCTGCAACAGCCTAACACAGGGACCTTGCTAAAAACAATCAAGAATATTACATTTCTAGAGAACTGGAAACACAGCCTTCATTCAGACAACCACTTTCACGAAGGATTTTGCAAAATTGGCTTGTTAACGTTGAAGAGAACCAGGTTCTGCAAGCTGTTGGCGAGTCCGGCAGCTTAGGACGCAGCTTCTGAAAACAAGCTTAGGAAGTGGGCAGTTCCGAGAGCACATTTGGCCAAAATAATTCTTGCAGGCAGAATATGAAGATAACTATTGTCCAGGGCCATAATCCTGAGCTTACTTATTACAGAATAATCTGATAGGAACAGTAACTATGGCTGGCGCCTTTGTTAAAAAAACAAACCAACCTGGTGCTTGGTGTAGCTGAGATTTGAAATGTAACCTGTTTCATAAAGAGGATAAGTCTGATGGTTGAGAAATAACCACAGGCAGCCCCACGCCCCTGGGTGGGGAGGGTATCGAGACAGATGTGGTTTCAGGGCATGTTAGAAGTTTGCATCTTCTACTTCTTCAACGTTGTTGTTGTTATCCAACCCAGTTGGTTCATGGGAGGGAAAAAAGGGTACGGTGTAATGAATATATTAAATTAACGTGAATACCTGGCACTAAATTGGAAGCATTAAAACACTGTTAAAAGTCGTGTTTTGGAAGCAGCAGACGACTGCAGGTTTTAAGCAACAGAACACATCGCAATAATTCAGCTCATTTTTAATCCTGCACCAAATGGAAAAAGAGTGAACTTGTTGCCTCTTCATAGAAAAGGTATTTTACAGCCTCAGTACCACCGCTCCAAAGACTCTTGTCTCTTTTATGTACCTGTTCGATCCGCATTATGGAAAAGTCACTCTACAGCAGTGGTCCCCAACCTTCGGCCTCGAGATGTTCTTGGACTTCAACTCCCAGAAATCCTGGCTAGCAGAGTTGGTGGTGAAGGCTTCTGGGAGTTGTAGCCCAAGAACATCTGGAGGCCTAAGGTTGGGGAGCACTGCTCTACAGGATTGATATACTTGACCTTTACCGATATATTTGTTAAAGGGCTTTCCGAACTTTTCCCATTAATCCCTGCTACAACCCTGCAAAGTAGACCAGTATTATTATATAGCTCTATTTCAGGTTTGGGGCTGAGGGTGAAAGAAGGAAACACCTAAAGCTTGCGGCCAAGGTGAAATCTACATCAAGGGCTCACATCTTATGTCTCATTCTGCCGTTGTGTCTTTACCATTAGCAGTGTGTTTGTTAACACAGTGGCTAACATTACTGGAATTGATTTCCTCGATCATGAAATGGTTGCCTTCCAGTGACCTACAAGGACTCCCCACCACTTCATGCTTCTGTTTTCTACAGTTTGATTCTTTGTTCACTGTCTTCTGGCTGTGTGCAGGGTGTAGCTTCTATTTTCAACTAATGAGAGGAAGCCACACATTTGTATATAGTTCAGGTATGGAGTTTCACTTCTGCCTGTGTGTGAGCAGCTCATGCATTGCCCTCTAATGATCCTTTTATGATGCCGGCTTTTGCATTTGACAAACATTAGTCCCCCAGAGTCCAGTCTCAAAAGCAGCGTATTGCAAATCCTTTTCAATTACCATGTTGTATTCTAAACCAAAAACTTATTTCGCAAAGTTGGGGG